GATTCTTCGAAGACGCGAAATCAATTTTCGTCATCGTTCATTAACAACTCAGCAACCAGGAATCCAATGCTAATGAAGTTTGCGTGCATGTTAATAATAACTGTTGTCTGTGCGTGTGTAAAAAATTGATAGAAAATATTAAGTACGATTTGAATTTGACTATACCGATTGATTTGATTCTTCGAAGACGCGAAATCAATTTTCGTCATCGTTCATTAACAACTCAGCAACCAGGAATCCAATGCTAATGAAACTCACATACTTGTTAATGATAACTGTTGTCTATGTATGTGTGCAAAAATTGACACAGAATATTAAGTACGATTTTGAATTTGTATATAACGATCTGCTCGATTTTTTCGAAAACGCGAAATCAGCAACTATACTTATTAAAATTTACATGTTTTACGTACGTGCACGTGCACGTTAACGTAATTGTTGTCCACGCGTGTTGCAATGAAGAAACTATAATACTATTATAACTTGCCGGTAAAAGTTTGTCAAGAGAATCATTGCATTTTTGTTATAACTGTGTCAAGTGTCAATTGTGACATTTCAGTCTTGGTTATGCAGGAAATTTTCAACCCTTAATATTAATATTAATACTTACTACTATTACAGTTCACTAGTGTTAGCGTTACTCTTCAGGCAAGGTGCCCAAGCGAAAAATTTTCATTATTTCATGTGACTTATATTAATATTATTGGCTAATTAATGATCGACGATCTAGATCAACACCAAAAGTAGAAAGTCAATGTCGATCATCAAAATCATAAAAAACCCCCAACCCCCAACTGGAAGAAAAATTTTTTTCACATATACTGCAAGCAGGGACTAAGTTTTGATGAAGTGGAGTACTTTTGTATTTGTGGACGTAGTTTAAACTGTGCCCAAGGCATCCCTACGATCTGACACTTCTTATGGTAAGGCCGTAAGTGATTGTTTTATAGTAGAAATCCCACTCCCCCACCCTCTTTCTCGTTGTCGGAAAATATCTGTAGTTCGAAGCAGTTGTAGATGTCTAGTCGGTTTCATTGATTCGCTGTACTGGTCTATGGATAACTGTAGATGTCTAGTCGGTTTCGTCGACGATTCGTCTGTACTGGTTTATGGATAACTATAAATGTCTAGTCGGTTTCGTTGACGATATGTCGATGATTCGTCTGTACTGGTTTATGGATAACTATGAATGTCTAGTCGGTTTCGTCGATGATGTGTCTGTACTGGTCTATGGATACTATAGATGTCTAGTCGGTTTCATTGAATCGCTGTACTGGTCTATGATATAAGTCTTCTAGCTGGTAGGATTATTCTGATAACGCAGGTTTCCACACACCTGCATTACATCCAATCTATTCCTTTTGATTTTTATATAGTTTAACAAATTGACGCCGTAGTCGTGGACTATAAAGCTCTAACCGGTGTCGTCCGTTCAAGAGATTTCGGCGACACATTAAATGTTAATCTCTGAGAACAAATATTTTTGATGGTTTAATAAAAAAACTATCCTTCCGTCAGTATGATCTGGACATGAGACTCAAGTCGCATCTTTCTAAGATGTAGTCATGGACTGACTTTAAACAGCCATAAAGCCCTAACCGGGCGTCGCCCGTTCAAGAGATTTCGGCGACACATTAAATGTTAATCTCTGAGAACGGATATTTTTGATGGTTTAATAAAAAAACCATCTCGATAGTGGTTATATTGCATGCGTAAATGATTTTCCTATCGATAAAAAAAAAAGAAAAAAATTCCGTTGAGATTTCTGGTGGTCATGGAAGAATCAGTTATAACGAACACCACCCTCGTTTGGATGGCGAGCATAACGAATGCATTATTCGTAAATGAATTCCTACTCGTGCTCTTTGAGAGTATACATTTTGGTGGTTTTCCTGAAAACCATCCTAGTTTGGTAATCAACTAGCATGGAGTAATCCTAAAATTGATCCATATTTTTGGTAGTTTTAATCCAACGGAAATAAAACTATCCAGTTTGGAAAACTGTGCATCATTTGCTGAATTGACCGAGGAATAAACCTTCGTATAAAAATTCTTCCTGATTTGGTTGTGTGGACCAGAGATGGATGTTTCTTATAAATTATTGCTTTTTTTTTAATTAAAAAACCCCTTGAATAAATAGATACAATAGATTGGATATGAGTCACAAGATACTTGACCTCCTCGCGGTGTGACTCGGGTAACGCTAACAAAGTATCAATTACCAATTGTTCTTGGGAAATTCACAATTTTCGATCTACTTGAAAACATTAGCACCAGTTTTGTTGAAAAATTCGATTTGCAGTCATGCTAGAACACAGTAGATTTTGTATAATAATAGTTCAATAAAATACTATACAAATTGACGCAGAATATTAAGTACGATTTGAATATGACTATACCGATTCGTTTGATTCTTCGAATACGCAAAATCAATTTTCGTCGTCAATAATCACTAGCTCAACAACAAAGAGTTCTATACTTATGGTATTCACATACTTGTTAATGATGACTGTCATCAATGTATGTGCAGAGAATTGATACTGAACATTAAGTACGATTTAAATATGACTATACCGATTCGTCTGATTCTTCGAATACGCGAAATCAATTTTCGTCGTCGATCGATCAGCTGGGTTAGAATAGATGTAGTAATTATAATGTTATAAAAAGTTATTACTTTTTTATATGACTGTTAATTATTTAATAGTGAACCGTACCCAATGTAGAAGAATTTGCGGAATGAAAGTGATATCGTAATTGGGAGTGTTCCGTCTATTACAATAATAAAATTTGTTAATGCCGAAAACGTTTCTTATTATAGTTTAGCGGAACCGAATCACTGATAACCAGAATAGTCTCGGATTTCGCCGCTTACCCATGCTATTGCCTCATCCTAAATTACTTCTGTATTAAAATTGCCAATGCCCAAATCGGATGATCGCATTTTTTGGTAGTAATAGTAATATTGACAATCATTTCCCGATCCCAAAATAAGTAGTCATACTCTTTATACGTACGTACCGCCCACTCGAACCGGCCCAATTAAGTTTTACTGTTATCGTGAGCTGATTTATCGAGAACGCATTTCGTAAATATTTCTACAATCGTAAAACTTACATCTGCTATAATCGCGACATTTGTCTACATGTCGCGAAAAAATTATCTCATGTCATTAAGGGACAATTAAAATCACTTAGTCTAACAATTCAACTTATAGACCAGCAACTATTGATTGACATATGTGTTATTTACAAAGCTTTAAATTACTCAAAATCGTGTTTGATAAAATTAATATATGCATCAACAATAGTTGTGATTATATCAGTAATATTCTCGAGATATTTTACAATTTTGCGGGGAAAAAATCATAATCATGCATTTCTGTTCACTATAGAAACCATGCTACTGTATCAAATACTAAATTTGTGGTTTCATGTTATCCATATAATTCCTATTATAATGATAATTATTAAAGCAAATTTAGCATTAAGGCTTTAAGTTTATCGTCAGCAAAATGTATTATCGAGGAATGTACTGCTCATAAAACGCCAGTGAGAATGGAAATGATCGTCAAATAAACGTAGTTCATAAAGAATACGATTAACAAACTAAACTATAGATAGCTTTTATTTACTTCCTCAACATGGTGCTCCATTATACTGCACAGTTGTCATGCACATATCTTTAGTCTAAACGGAAAGTCCGTCAACTTCAATAATTCTATTTGATTATACAAATTGTCTTATGTCTACGGTTGATGCTCAATAGATCTGCTTTGAAGTAATTGTCGGACAAATGCAACGGTTTCTAGGAATATATTGATACCAGAATTCTCATCGTCATCAATTGGATTAAACCGATTTCTTAGGACATCATATTCATTTCTAGTTAATAAATTCCTAAAAGTCTCATCAGTTACATTGCCGTCTTCATTATCGCCCTGTTCATTGTTATCGTGAATTTCTTCAACACCATAATTGTCATCGATGTTATTATATTCTTCATAAGCTAAATAATGATTTGCTGTCATTCCAATTTGCCGTAATTGCAATGGTGTTCGATTGTGCTCTGTGCGAATAGAATGATTGTTCCAGTTTTCTGTGAACATATTAAGAGCTCTATTTATCCGCTCCATGTATACATAGTGTAGACAATACAACTGAATAACATCGTCTATGTCAAAATTATATTCTTCCTCAAGGTGAATAAATATTAACCGAAAGAATTTAATTAGCGTTCTATTGAGGTCACCCCATAGACGCTCAATCCGTTGGTTATGCACAGAAGTTCCACATAGATGACTGCCACGGTCAGTACCTCTATAATTGATCATAAAGTCAGCCACTTGTATATTTTCCATCCCATGGTCACTTCGAGTTCGGCTTGGAACTCCCCACGTGGCACATGCTTCTCTAAAGCAGTTTAGAACTGTTGTGGCTCTATTGTTTGGGTTACACTTAAGATAAACTACACAACGGGAGTAGCCATCTATGCCGCCATGAATAACAAATTTCCATTTAATGAGTTTGTGATTACCATCGATGTGCCACAAAGCATTAGGTCCTGCCACACTGTACCTCCGTCGTGGGATTAAATTTTGTAAACGCATAGCGGTCCCGAATGGATCTACTCGGTGTAAGCTTTCGCGAACTCTTTGGCGGTGCACTCGTAGTCCTCTGCTTCGTAACCCACCCATTACCAATATTTGTCCAGCAAATGGGTTTTCTCCTTTTATTTGCCTTACAATATTATCTAACTCTGCGTCGGTTACATTTGAATATGTGAAATCGTCAGGAATATTTAATTCATTGCGTCGCCTTCGTAACGTTCTGTCAGAAATACCGAAAAGGTTGGCAATATTTGACCAACTGAGTCCTTCTTCTCGCAAATTTCTCGTAATTAGAACAGGTATCACTACGCGTCTTCTCCCGCCTGTACTTTCATATTGGATTAAACGATTTCTGCTTGAAGTTGATGACGAATTAAGTCTGTTGACTTTCTGTTTTAATGCGCTGCGAAGATTTTCGATAGTTTCTAATCGCAAGTGCACGTGTGGTGCTATCATCAAGTGACGATAAATTTGCACGAGTTGATCAAGACACTCAATATGCATTTCTAAAGTGTTGATATCGGCGATTTCTTCAAGAGCTCGTTGAGCATTATTTACTGTTGATTGAGCAGAAGTCTCAAAGTGAGATAGCAAAGATTCCATTATGCGATGTTAGAAAATTGAATGGCGGTTAGTATAAAGAATTTTAACAGTGCCACAAGTTTCAAAGTCTGTTCACCGTATAGAGCAACAAACGAATGGCGGTTGCTATAAAAATGTTAACAATCTCGCAAATTTATATTGTTAAAGCTTGTGTTCCATATAGAGCAACACCACATCAGACGAATAAACTTGTTAGCCCCAGCCATCAAGTAAACGCGTTGGATATAACAAATAATAGTATTTATTGTAATATGTGATAATATATTTCATAAATTGTAACTTCACCGAACCATTCCTTAAATTTTTTAATCAAAATAAGCGGCAAATGTTTTATTTTTTTTCAAAACATTAATCTTTTAACCGTCAAATATAAAAATACCTGAATTCCGGCATCTGAAAATAATGTCAAGATCCAAACATTCTATCGCATTGTTAAAACGAGCGGCTTAGAGGCATAAAGTTCCTTAACATGCCAAATTGTAACGTTGTATTGGTCAGACAAATATTGTATGCAATCTCTTTATCATCGACCAGATTAAAAACGCAGTACACTTGTATTAATTATTTCGCAGTCTAACCGTAATGCTAAAACTGCACCAATTATTTCGATGTCAATCTCAATATGTTTACAATCTAACCGTAATGCTAAAAGTTTACACCAATTCCGATGAAAATCAGTTTTGTGGTTAGATTAAAAAATAGTCTGTATTTACAGTCTAACCCATAATGCAAATCACTGTGCGGTTAGATCCGAAAAATAGTTAATATTTGCAGTCTAACCGTAATGCTGAAAGTTATGCCAATTATTTCGATGCAGGTCGCTGTGGGTTAGATCAAAAATAGTCAATATTTACAGTTTAACCGTAAGGCTAAAAATTGCACCAATTCTTTCGATGTCAATCACTATATTAACTTACAGTCTAACCGTAATGCTAAAAGTTACACCAATCGATGAAAATCATTTTGCGGTTAAAAAATAGTCTGTATTTACGGTCTAACAAGTAATGCAAATTTACTGTGCAGTTAGATCAAATTATAGTTAATATTTACGGTCTAACCGTAATGTTAAAACTCATAACTATGCAAATCGCTGTGCGGTTAGATCAAAGTATAGTCTATAATTACAGTCTAACCGCAATCTAAGATTGTACCAATTGTTTCGATGTCAAATCACTTTGCGGTTTAGATCAATAAATAGTCTATATTTACTGTTTATCGCAAACATAGGAATACAAACATTAATGCAAGCTTCCAAATATAAACATCAAAGATAACATTCTAACCATAATGTCAAAAACTTGTACCAATGATTTATCGTACGATTATACCAACACATTAACGAAGACGGTACATTTACTATCTAACCGTAAACTGCTACAATTACTGTCGATATCGGATGATTTCAAGCAAAATAATTAGATGATTTAATCTACACTTAACAGACAAGATCGCATAAATTGTGCGAGTGAGTTCAACGTCCAATAATTCAAGCACAGTTTTTCGTTCGCGCCTTATAAAAAGTGTTATGTCTTTCATTTGTCATAATAGTTAGTTCATATTATTCCAAACTGACGTGTGAGCAAAGAAACTATTCAAAAGTAGTAATTCCATACTATACCGATTAATGTCTGGTGAGTATATGGTGTAATTTTTGTTACCTGATTTAGGAATAGAAAGATCTGCACGCCCAATTTTACCACAAATTTTAACAAAGGGGTTCACAAGTACTTTTATGGTAAATCCCGTTGACGCTATTTGGCGTTGGAATTGTTTTCGTTTTGCTTTGTGGATAACGCAGTATCTTTACGAATTGACTGTCTAATGACGATTTCCCAGTTTTTCCAGAGACAAAAATTAATTAGCAAAAGTTTATGGAAAACATAACAGTTTTCCCAGTTTTCCAGGGACAGATTCCTTCAATTATAAAATGCGCACAAAGGCTCGCCTATCCGTTTGATCGCTAATAACAGCATCTTCGTAATTTTCAAAATGAATTTTGTTTGCGTTTTCACAAACTGTTCTTGCCATTCCTTTGCCACCTCGTCAGATTCTATGATTTGCATAAACTGTCAACATTTAATTACTTTTCATTGCGGAGTAAGTAGTCTCATTTCAATTTATCCATAAAGGCCGATGAAATTACTAACTACTTAATATGGTAATAGGCTATCATTAATTCATACTCTCTGTTGCCGCCTGCATTATCTGCGCCGATGGTACCACCAATTACAATGGAACAAACTGCCATTCAATCCAATAGAAGCAATAACCAGCGGCAACAAGTTCCCAACAGTGAAACACTGAGAATTTTCAGACGAAATCGCGCATCTACTATTACCACGGAGCAAAGAAGAAATAACGTCGTTCCATTTAATCCACTAACAGCACTCAGCCAATATGGCACCCCGAGGCGTGGTCGTCGAAATGGCCAACATCAACAACGAGCAGTTGGTCGTCCAACAGCTAACTTGTCTGTTACACTAATTTACGTGAGAGCTGACTTGAGCGTACATCAGCAAATCCCACCTCCGAGAGTTCGAAGTCTAGATAACGCAGATATAATTCCGAATGTCATATTTAACTCAAGTGATGGACCACAAGAAATTGACGGCATAATAAGGACTGCATTGCCACAATTGGGTGAAGATAATTGGCTTCTTTTAAAATATTCGAACGAAATTGAAGAACAAAGACGAAGATTGTTTTTGCAGATCGCAAATAACAATGGCTCTTATACGTTTAGTGATCTTCGAAGGTATGTACATTCACGCATGTACTTTGAATACATAATTCTATTGTACATTATTTGTAACCTTGCTTAATTTGTAGTGCCGCAACAACGCATCACCCTAGAAAATTATATATCGCGAGAGCTCCTACTGCAAGTAATGACAATATGCAATCTCCTGTCCTTTCAACATCACCTGCATCGCCTGCTTTGTCTCCATCAGCACCCACAATCACATCATCACCGACTTTCCAACCTCTGCCAGAATTATCTCCCCAATCATCCACTACACCTTTGACATATGCAGCAATATCTGTGAACATGAGCGATACGCGTTTGGCAATCTGCAGGTTGTTAAGTATAGCGGATAATCAACAGGCGCATATCACAATCCGCAACCGCAGTTGTATAATCGACGATTTATTAAGTTGGGCTGGTAGTGCAAGAGTTGAGGATATGCTGTCGACGCCGGTTATTTCACTACAGAATGAACAAGCTGTGGACATTGGAGGGGTATTGCGTGACGTTGTTGAAAGCTTTTGGGAGCAGATTAGGGAGTGGGAATTTCCAATTATTGGCTTACTTTTTACAAACAGTACACTTACCCATAAGATGCGTGCAGCATTGGCGCAAGAGACCGTATTAGTGGGTAGACTATTATGGTGGTCCATCATTCACGATATTGCTTATCCAAAATGGCTTGCTGCATATGTTTTAGACTGGCTTTTTGGGGTAGAGATAAATTTTATGGAGGCATTAGAGTGCATTTCCGAACCCCTATGGACACTCTGTAGCGAATTAGACAGGCTCAGCTTGCAGGAATGGGAGACATATGAATTTTCAGCGGCGTTGCTGGCCTTTGCGGAACAGAACGATATAACTCCACGGCAACTAAGAGAAGACTCTCCGCAAGAAATAGCCAATTTTATTAGATTGTCGGCAGTTATATTATCTCGGAGATGCACATTAGAGAAATTTAAGGAGGGTTTTGATGTTGACTTTGGGCATGGCGCTAGAGGGGTCCAGGTAACTAATTAATTGTTGTTCACAAACCAAACACATAATTCAACTGCTAAACCTTAAGTATTTTTGTAGGTATTGCGAGAGTCAGGGTATGCGCACTTGCGTGGCTACCTTTATCAAGAGCTCGAAAACAATGTCCAGCTCATTGCGCAGTTTGACTGGACAGCTCGGGGTATAGAAAATGAAACGATCCCTCTGTGGTTCCACGAATATCTTACCAATGTGCAGACAAAGCAATTGCGAAAGAAAATAATACGATTCTGCACCGGTAGTTACCGAGTGCCTGTTGAGCGCAAGATTACAGTACGTATTATATATATCATCGATAATTGTAATATTAGATGCATGCTTATTGTCAACTTTTTATTTAGATAAAAATTGTCGCAGCCGACACAAATCTCAGTTCAGCATACAGTCGGTTGCCAAGAGCGTCATCGTGTTTAAAAGAGATTTGGCTTTGCCATGAATACGATGCTGGTGAAAGGCAACAATTTTTCGCCGATCTAAACTGCGCATTTAGCGAATGTAGCGACGGTTTTTATGAACGGGCTGTAGAGCTACCTGAATAATGTAAATAATGTAAATAATGTAATGTACTAGATTTTAATAAAATATTGATTGGAGGACTCCAAGAATTGACTAAAAAAATATCATTAGAACAACATTAGACAAATAGAACTTATTGCCGGCCAACGCGTTGGATAATAACGATAATGAAATGATTGTAATGTGTGATAATATATTTCATAAACTGTAACTTTCCCGAACCATTCCTTAGTTTTTTTAATCAGAATGAGCGGGCAAGTGTTTTTATTTTTTTCAAAAAATCAAGCCACCTTGGTCTTTCAACCGTAAGATATCTGTATTTGGACATTTGAAAATAATGTCAAGATTGAAACATTTTTATCGCATTATCAATTAGAGGCATAAAGTTTTAGTCTTCCTTTAACATGTCAAATTGTAATATTGTATTCGCCAGACAAATATTATGTGCAATCTCATCATCGTACGGTCAGATTAAAAAAACAGTACACTTGTACAAATTATTTCGATACGGTATATAAAGGTCCACGCTTACAGTCTAACTGTAGTGCTAAAATTATATCAATTATTTCGATGCAACTCGAGATTAAACAGTCTAGCCGTAGTGCTATAAATTACACCAATTATTTCGATATCAATCACTGTGCCGCAAAGCTAAAAATTTATACCAATTTCAGTGCGGTTAGATCAAAATATAGTTTACATTTACAGTCCAAATTATACCCAATTGTTTTGATACAAACCACTGTGCGTAGATCAAAAAAATCGTGTATATTTACAGTCTCACAGTAATGCTAAAATTACACCGATTGTTTCGATGTCAATCACTGTGCGGTTAGATTTATATATCCGTAATGCTAAGAGTTTATACCAACTTTTAATGAAAATCATTTTGCGATTAGATAAAAAAAACAGTCTATATTTACGGTCTAACCCGTGATGCAAATCACTGTGCGGTTAGATAAAAAAATAGTTAATGCTTACAGTCTAACCGTAATGCTAAAACTCATACCCAATTATTTCGATGGCAAATCGCTGTGCGATTAGATCAAAATATAGTCTATAATTCCAGTCTAACCGCAATGCGACGTCAAATCACTGCGCGGTTTAGATCAATAATTACTGTTTACCAAATGCAAGCATCAAAGATAACATTCTAGCCATAATGCCAAAAATCTGTACCAATGATTTACCGTACGATTAGGCCAACTCATTAGACTACATTTACTATCTAACAGTAAACTGCTACAATTACTGTCGATTTCAAGCAAATGATCGTATGATTAAATCTACTTAACAGACAAGATCGTGTTCGATAAGCATAAATTGTGTGGGCGAGTTCAACGTTCAATAATTCAAGCACAGTATTTCGTTCGAACATTATAGACCGTATTATATCATTTATTATTCCAACTGACGTACGTGTGAGAAAAGTTCCATATCGAATGTCTGGTGAGTATGTGGCGTAATTTTTGTTACCTAATTTAGGAATAGAAAGATTTGCGCCCAATTTTACTACAAATTTCAGCAAAAGGATCCACAAGTATTTTTATGGTAAACCCCCGTTGGTGTTAACTGGTGTGCTGTGTGGATGGTGCGAATAGAAATTATCTGAATATCTTACCGATGTGCAGAGAAACAATTGCGAAGGAAATAAAAAGTTCTTGCACCGATAGTTACCGAGTACCTGTTGAGCGCAAAATCACAGTACGTATTATATTATATCATCGATAATGTTAATATTTTTTGACGCATGCTTATTGTCAACTTTTTTTATTTAGATTAAAGTCATCGCAGCTGACACAAATTTAGTTCAGCATACAGTCGGTTGGCAAGAGCATCACCATGCTTGAAGAGATTTGGTGTAGTGAATACAGCGACAGTTTTTATGAAACGGGGCTATAGAACTACCTGAATAATACAAATAATGTAAAGTGCTAGATGTTTTAATAAAGTGTCTTCAACTGAAAACAATCCGACAATAAGGGATTTAATCAATGAACTCGACTCTGATTTTGTCAATCTGATTAACCAATCAAGCGTCAGAAATTTGTGGGAAAGAGTTCGATCCCGATTTTGAGAATGACTTGATGGTGTGACATGTGTTGTATGTCAATTTGGAATTTATGTCAGTTTGGAATTATGTCAGTTTGGAATTTATGTCAGTTCTGAATTGACATATGTCAGTTTGGAATTTATGTCAGTTCCGAATTGACATATGTCAGATTGAAATATATACGCACGACCGAAATGTGTGACAGGTTATGCCGAAGATGGTGGCGTGACCATCAATTGATCTGACTGTCCCCCTGATTTACATTATTTGAAGACAAGACACAAATTTATA